AGAAAATAAACCGCGTGTGATCCTGCGAATAAGGCGGAGCTCCAGGTGTGGGATTTGGTGCGCAGTCACCTTGGTGCAGCTCAGAGCGATATAAATGTACATATTCCATACCTGAGGGTCACCTGTGGAAGCAGAGAGTCGCTGTAAGGGGGCAGGCAGCCCCTCAGAGCTGTACACATGCTGCGGCACAAATGACACCCCCCCAGGCCTGTTCAGTGAGCAGTCAGGGCCGCCCATCGGAGGAGAAGCCCATATTCCCTCACAGGTCTAGGGCCACCCCATCTACCACAAACCCAGGTCTGACTAAAGTGTTTTACTAAACAACCCCGGCCCCCGCATTCCACTATATCCGCTCTCTCCCCCCCGGCCCCCGCATTCACTATATCCGCTCTCACCCCCGGCCTCCCCGCATTCACTATATCCGTCCTCCCCGGGCCCCGCAATTCACTACAATCCGCTCTCCCCCCCGGGCCCCGCATTCATCCCTCTACATCCGCTCTCCCCCCAGACCCCGCATTCAATATATCCGCTCTCCCCCCAGACCCGCATTTCAATATATCCGCTCTCCCCCAAGACCCCGCATTCAATATATCCGCTCTCCCCCCAGACCCAACCCCCGCACAACCCCCCCCCCCCCCCCCCCCCATTCAATATATCCGCTCTCCCCCCGGGCCCCGCATTCACTACATCCGCTCTCCCCCCCAGACCCCCCCATTCACTTATATCCGCTCTCCCCCCGGGGCCCCGCATTCATCTACAATCCGCTCTCCCCCCACCAGACCCCGCATTCAATATATCCGCTCCACCTTTCCAGCATCTCCCCGGTTCTGAAGGTGAACCTCTCCCATCTGGGCCCCCCTCCCAGGCTCCTGCTCTCCAGCCTCACTTCTCCATCTGTCACCTAAACTCTCTCCTGCCTGATGCTGGGCAATCGCTCCCCTCAGTTACTCTTAAGGGCTGTCTTGGCCCCTTGCCAAGCTCCTGTTGGGGATTGGTCAGGATCCTCTTAGAGTACAGATAAGCCACTCCCTCACCTCTGCCCACTGTTTCTAGATCTTTCTCCAAAGCTCTATGGCAGGGGAAGTCTCAGAGCGCTAGTTTGCAGAGCCTCTCAGCTCTGACCCAACTTTGACTCTGCAAGCTATCACACCCAGGCTTCTACTTAGCCCTCCTTACCAACAATTGAAACTCTAGCTCCCCTAGCTACCTAGGAGGGTGCTACATTGATCATGAGAGTAGTTGGTTGTTTGGTGGATTTATAGACAGAAGGTTGTCACCTGCCGGCTGTGAGCTGACAACGGAATGTACTCTGTAGCAGTGTCCGGGGTTATTTCCATAAGCTGGTTTCCAGTATTGGATCTGCTGGGGTGTCTGGTTCTCCTACAACAGTGTTGTACTGGGGGGGGGGGTCATTTTCTGAGGACAGGCCTGTGTAATCTAGGAGGACATTCAATACCGCACCTGACCGGTCATCCTGGATTTTGTATTCTCAGATCCTGTCCAGGTGTAGAAAGCGCTGCCAAAGTGATTCAGAATGACCCAGAGAATGGATTGTTGCCCGCTAGCACCTGGAATGGATCTGAGCCCATAATTATAGGTTAGGGTATGATTGTGGGAAATGGAGGAAAAAAAAAACAAAGCTGGCTGTTTCTTTTTCCTGAAAAGTAAAGAAAAAACAGCACATATTATACACATTACATGTTGCTATGCACACAGTTAACCCCTTGATTGCCCCTAGATTATTATACATGATTTATATAGCCAACAATTTGCACAGCACTTTACAATATAAAAAAGGGAGACGGTACAATTACAATACATTTCAGTACATTTCAGTACATTTCAGTACAGACGGAATAGCAGGGCTCTGCTCGTGGAGCTTACAAACTAAGGGATGTTAACCCCTTCCCAGTCAAAGTCATTAGTAAAGTGTCAGAGTACATTATTATCACTGTATTGTGTCACTAGTGGTGTCAGTAACTGGGACTGTGATAGGGTGGTGGGCAATCTGGTGCTAACAGACACTATCTGGGAGGATCAGTAACTGACCCTCCCCGATAGTGTGTTAGCACCAGATTGCCCACCACCCTATCACAGTCTTACTATAAGTTGCTAATCACCACCATTACCAGTACAGTGTCCATAGCTGTGTAAGTTCCAGTATACATACCATAGTTTGTAGACACTAAACCTTTCACACAACTTATATTTTATTACTTCTATTTTAATACTTATTGGGATTTTTTTGGTTTACCAAAGACATGTAGCAGAGTACATTTTGGCTTAAATTTATGAAGAAATTAGATTTTTTTTCATTAGATATCTTAAGAACAAAAAAATAGAAATTAGTTATTTTTCCCCCAATTTTTTTTGTTAATATAATAAAAAAAAAAAACCAGTGATGATCAAATACAACCAAAAGAAATTTGTGCAAAAAAAAAAAATATAAAATTGCATACAGTATCGCATGAATGCGCAATTTACCAGTTAAAGTAGCACAGTTCTGAAGAGCACAAAGAAATATTCTGGTCATGAAGGGTCAAACCTTCCGGAGATGAAGTGGTTATGATAATACACAAAACTCTTATTTTGAATTGTAAAACTTTAAGTATCTGAAATAAAATACATTGAAGAAAATGTATAAATATAATACGTTTACTTTATAAATACAACAATACATTCAGGATAGAAACACAGAAAAATGACAGCAGAAAAAAAACCAAGTGTCCAAGTTTTGTTTTTGTTTGTTTTGGCTTTTTTAATTTTGTTTCCTTTTTGGTTTTTACTTTTTTGTCTGAGTATAGATCTGTACTTGTCCCACGCATGGTTGAAGCTGGTTACTGCTGACTGGCTCACTACCTCTGCTGGATGTTTATTCCCGGCATCCACTACTCTGTCAGTGAAATAAGAACTGTCTGAGATTAGTTCTGAACGTTCCTCCAGTTAGTTGGAGGTCCTGTCCTCGTGTTCTTCATTTTGGTTTCGTGTTGATAATCCTGCCCTCCTGAACCTTATTCACCCCTTTGATGTATTTAAAGGTCTCAATCATGTCTCCCCTTTCCCTTCTGTCCTCCAGACTGGACATGTTAAGTTCCTGAAGTCACTCTTGATATGTTTTATTCCCCCCCGACCTTCCACCACCATTTCTGTTCCCTGTCTCTGGTCTCATTCTATCTTATCAATATCCTTTTGTAAGTGAGATCTCTAGAACTGGACACAGTATTCTAAATGAGGTCCAACTAAAGGTCTAGATAGAGGAATCCGGACCTCCTTCCTCCTGCCGGTGACCCCTCTAGTGATATAAAGATCTATATAGAGGAATCAGGACCTCCTTCCTCCTGCCGGTGACCCCTCTAGTGATATAAAGATCTATATAGAGGAATCAGGACCTCCTTCCTCCTGCCGGTGACCCCTCTAGTGATATAAAGATCTATATAGAGGAATCAGGACCTCCTTCCTCCTGCCGGTGACCCCTCTAGTGATTGGATCTATATAGAGGAATCGGGACCCTCCTTCCTCCTGCCGGTGACCCCTCTAGTGATATAAAGATCTATATAGAGGAATCAGGACCTCCTTCCTCCTGCCGGTGACCCCTCTAGTGATATAAAGATCTATATAGGGGAATCAGGACCTCCTTCCTCCTGCCAGTGACCCCTCTAGTGATATAAAGATCTATATAGAGGAATCGGTGAGATGATTGCGGCGTCAGACCCCAGCCCTTCTCACCAAACTCGAGACTGAAGGTGTCAGGAATGGATTCGCCAATGGTGGTGGGACTCACCTGCCTTGTGGGCTGCAGTACCAGGGCTGGCCAGCGGGTGCTCTCAGCCACCAGAGGCTCACTCCTGCAGTCAGCCATCACCTGAGGCTGATTGCAGGAGGTGTATTTAAGGAATGGCCAGACCTGCAGTCAGTGCCTTGTTGTACTGTTTCGCTTGGCCCCGGTATCCTGATCCTGCTTGCTTCTGTCCTGATTCTGCACGAACTCTGCCTGTACTGACCTCGGCTAGTCCTGACCACTCTCCCGCCTGTTCCTGGTACCTTGTTTGCCCGTTTGCTACCGACCCGGCCTGCCTGACTACGTTTAGTGTTGTATGTATGGTTGTTGTTGGAGGTTTGGTTTGTTGCACTGTGTTATGTTTTGCACTGCGTTTATGTATTGTTAGTCTTAATAAATTGTATTATTATACTATAGCTGAAGCCTGCGTTTCCCTGTGTCAGTCCACACACTTCTGGTCATACCCAGGTACCTGACATTACAACAAGGCCTTTCCTGACCAGAAGTGGCTGCACAGGGAAGCCATCTTGGCTTGTTGCTGGGAAGGATGCATCCTGATGAGGTTGTGTATTTGTCTCTGCTAGTCTTTGAGGACAGAGATTATGCCTATCAGACGCTGAAGGAGTATACCCGGGATCAGCTGCTAGAATGCATAAGGATCGCTCATTTCCTAGTAGATCAGGGCACAGAGTTCTCTGAAGTGCAACCATTGATTCAGGTTTGTGCAGAGTTGGCTTCGTCTGGTGCTCCTGAGGGAAGGGATGACTTTTTGCCGCCATTTAGTGCCGACCAGGTAGAGTCCCTGGTATGGTTATTGGAGGATGATGTGGATTGCTTCTTGGAGCATTATTCTGCATGTTCACAACAGGTGCTTAGGGATTGTATAAACACAGTGCAGTCTTTGACCAGACAGGCTTTGTGTAAGCTGAACTTTGTTCAACCCATACTGCAGACATGGTCAGATTTGTTACACCCAGCCTCAGTCAGCTTGCAACAAACCAGTCCTGCTTCTTATCATTTCTCTGCCCAAAGCTCTCTTCCTGCATTCCCGACAGCACCCCCAGTGACGGCCCAGTATACTCTGCTAACTACCACATATCAGTCCTCTGCTCCCACTCGCTGCACCTATCCTGCCTTTAACCCTGTAAAGCCGTCCTCTGTAGCAACTGCTCCCTCCTTTGTTCCATCCCACAGCTCTTCTCTGCCTACAACTGCTCTATCCGTTTACAAACCTGCGCTTACTTACAGTGCTCCAGTAACTAAAACAGGAAAAGGCGAAAATTTTTTCCAACCAGTACCATCCTGCCAGTATCCAAACTGGTCAGCCTGCCGTCTGAGAACCCACCTTCCGTGGTTCAGCCTGGTGCCCCGGCACCTGCAATTCTGCCTGATACCCTGATGCCCGATGACCCAGTGTACGCCACCCGGCCTTATGTTCCTGCCCAGCCTGATGACCCGATCCGGCTTGATGATCTGGTGTAAGCTACACAGCCTGATGACCCTACCCAGCCTGATGACCCGATCCAGCTTGATGATCTGGTGACCGCTATCCAGCCGGATGGCCCGATCCAGCCTGATGACCTGGTGTTCGCGATTCAGCCTGATGACACGGTCCGGCCTGGTGCCTCAGTGCCCGTGGTCCGGCCTGGTGCCTTGGTGCCCGCGGTCGTGCCAGATGACTTGGTGCCCGCTGCCCAGCCTGATGCGCCTCCGTCCGCTGCCCAGCCTGATGCGCCTGCCCCTGATATCCATCCAGTTACCTGACCCGGGCGGTGGAACATTTTGCCCACTAAGGACTGTTTGGAGCATCCTGAGGCCGCTCCTTGAGGGGGGGGTGGGGTACTGTCAGGAATGGACTTTCCAATGGTGGTGGGACTCACCTGCCTTGTGGGCTGCAGTACCAGAGCTGGCCAGCGGGTGCTCTCAGCAACCAGAGGCTCACTCCTGCAGTCAGCCATCACCTGAGGCTGATTGCAGGTGGTGTATTTAAGGAATGGCCAGACCTGCAGTCAGTGCCTTGTTGTACTGTTTCGCTTGGCCCCGGTATCCTGATCCTGCTTGCTTCTGTCCTGATTCTGCACGAACTCTGCCTGTACTGACCTCGGCTAGTCCTGACCACTCTCCCCGCCTGCTCCTGGTACCTTGTTTGCCCGTTTGCTACCGACCCGGCCTGCCTGACTACGTTTAGTGTTGTATGTATGGTTGTTTGTTGGAGGTTTGGTTTGTTGCACTGTGTTATGTTTTGCACTGCGTTTATGTATTGTTAGTCTTAATAAATTGTATTGTTTATACTATACCCGAAGCCTGCGTTTCCCTGTGTCAGTCCACACACTTCTGGTCATACCCAGGTTTCTGACAGAAGGACTAGCCAATCTAAAACTGCGATGTCACGTGCGTAACAATGCCACGCCCAGCTGCACCCTGCACACAGATTTTCCAGCTCACTGGACCACAATCGATATACCGGCAGCCTGAGAGCGATTGTTACTGGGTCAGGTTAATTACACAATTAACCCTTCACACTGCCACCACTGCCTTTTTATACAGAGAAAGAGGAAACTCTGCAATATTAGCAATACACTATGATGGTTGGATAATAGTCTGTATACCACAGGCAGGTTATACAGAGGGTTAAACACACAGTAGCGCTCTTCAGCGGCAGGAATTCGTAGTTTGCATTAAAGGCGTTAGAAACAGTTCAACACTTTCAGAAAGTAAGATGTATTACTAAAAAAAGGTCAAAAGGGTGCAATAAAAATATTTACAGAAAAAGATGTAGCCTATATACATACATATATACACACACACACACACACACACACACACACACACACACACACACACACACACACACACACACACATACACACACATACACACACATACACACACACATACACACACATACACACACATACATACATACATACACACATATATACACATACATATTTAATATACATACACACACACATATATACAGAGAACAACAGCACAGCAAAGAGATAACAGAAAGGAATTTAGAGGGTCAAAAGTACTTGCTAGTCAGCCTTGGTGTAAGCAGCTTCAAGTTTCAGAAGTCAAAAGAATTTCTTGTCTCTATTGTCAGTTTTGATGTTAAACAGGAGACTTCTTTTCTCACACACACACTTAACAGCCTTTTTCTAGCAAATCCACAGGGTTTCTCCCTGGAGCAGTGAAACCAATCGTCTCCTTTGGGGAGGGAAGTGTAGGTGGAGCCCTAAGTTATGACTAGAAACTCTCATAGCTGCTATTATGATTAATAACTCATTCTCGGGGCATTTTTGCCAGCCTGGGCACTAGTACATTAATACTCAGCAGCATCTGCAGAATGGTTAGAGATGAAACATGTCATACACTTGAATGGTTCAGGAGATACAATTTTCTGCTCTTACATGTGTCAGATAAGGGGTGCAACATACCAGGAGAATGGTCTCAAATTGAGCTGTCCGAATATGGGCTCCATGTTTAGGTAATTATGTCCCCTGTGAGGATATCAACTTATATATGAAAGTGAGTTTTTAAAAGGAATTCTGTTTTTACGATCCCTCTGAAGGTTTTTTTGAAGTTCAGTGAGGGACTTGGTTTACACTTTTACGATATCCCAGATTGCACAGCTACCAGACAGGGGGGGCACCTAGCTGGTGAGGTTTTATAGCCAGGACGCCCTCCCACTTTGTTTCGATGCCTTTTTGAACTCAAACAGACCACATGTCACTCAACAGAGAGGGAGGGGGATGATTGGAGGAGGCAGCCTGCTTTGGTAGTGAGAAACTGTACAACATGGAAAATTCTTAACAAAATATAGGGCCGCGTCCGTCTGTGCGCACAATTGCTACAATCAGGACCTTCTTCCTCCTGCTAGTGACCCCTCTAGTGATATAAAGCTCTATATAGAGGAATCAGGACCTCCTTCCTCCTGCTGGTGACCCCTCTAGTGATATAAAGATCTATATAGGGGAATCAGGACCTCCTTCCTCCTGCTGGTGACCCCTCTAGTGATATAAAGCTCTATATAGAGGAATCAGGACCTCCTTCCTCCTGCGGTGACCCCTCTAGTGATATAAAGATCTATATAGGGGAATCAGGACCTCCTTCCTCCTGCCGGTGACCCCTCTAGTGATGGGATCTATATAGAGGAATCAGGACCTCCTTCCTCCTGCCGGTGACCCCTCTAGTGATGGGATCTATATAGAGGAATCAGGACCTCCTTCCTCCTGCCTGTGACACCTCTAGTGATATAGAGATCTATATAGAGGAATCAGGACCTCCTTCCTCCTGCCTAGTGGGTCTATATAGGTGACCCCTCTAGTGATATAGAGATCTATATAGGGGAATCAGGACCTCCTTCCTCCTGCCGGTGACCCCTCTAGTGATATAGAGATCTATATAGGGGAATCAGGACCTCCTTCCTCCTGCCGGTGACCCCTCTAGTGATGCATCCTAGAATTCTATTCACTTTCCCCACTGCCTGGTCACACACAGTTTTCAATAATCTGAAATAAGTGCCCCCAAGTTCTTTTCCTCTGCAGTGCTGGCCAACAATGTACCCCAATGTTGTTCTCTCTCACAGGATTCTGCTCTCTAGGTGAATTATTTTACATTTAGAAACATTGAACTGCAATTTCCACTTTTTTGATACATGTGAAATAATATTCCAAGTCTTCCTGAGATTCAGTTCCAGCCTTCCTCTGAGATAAGAAGACATTTATAATCATCATATATATGTGTACACAAACCCTACACCTCATTGCCATTCTAGCATTTAATAAGTGCTCTGTTCATGCTCATATATTACCACTGATCAGGGTGGGGGAGGAGCAGTGACACAGAAAGCTGCAGGTTATGAATAGTGGTGACATCCAAATTCCTGCATCTAGCCGAGTATATGAATGGCGAGCTCTGTTGTATTTCAGAGTACTGTCACCCACACAGGAGCTTCTTGATCTCATCAATGGGATGAACTTCTTCATTGTCCAGCCACGGGAAGGGGGGTGATCACACTGTACTGCTTAATTACAATGGAGAAAAGGGAAGTCACTGACCTGACTATGTTACCTGTCAGGGGTGCTGGATCATGGGAGTAGATGAGCAGAATTGTCTCTTGTAACAGTTTTCAAATATATATGTGCAACCATTTGTCAGTGTTAAGTGCAAAAAAAACCCAAAAAACAAAAAAGGACTTCAATCCTCTCAAACCTTCATGTTATGCATTCTCTTCTGAGAAGTACTTGGACTTGCTTGGTTGCGACCTATCGGTCCATATTCTACAATGGGAGAATATCCATTCTGTATAGTGGGTCCAGCCCCATTTTGGAGGCAGAGGTCCATTCTCCTGAGTGGTCACAGCCCCTCTCTCCATGTCATTTGGAGGTTCAGTCTGCAAGGTCACATTGCGCTCCTCTCTCTTCCTGCGAGGTCTCTGAGAATATAAAACCAAGGATGAAAGGTCAGATAATAATACAGAATATCCTCACAGATCACAGAGGATTTAGAGCAGTGACACCTCATTCTTTACTGACTGTCCCTGGTCATGTGACTACTGGGGTGTTCACTACATCAGATAAGGGCAGCCAAGCCGGGATCCCCCCCAAGACATTCTGATGGCCCTCCCCATCCCTGATCACCTCCATGCACTCCATTATATGACTTTACTTTCTAAACAGTATTCGGCCTTTAGTCATACACTCACTGTCCCTATAGGGACTTTCACCATGTATTAATCTATGGGAAGTTTTCTGACCCTCCACATAGTAGATGACCCCCCAGATGGACAGTGACAGGGGCTGAGTGATCCAAAACACATCCAAAGTGCACCAATATAGGAAGAAATAATAGAGAGAAAGTGTTGTGAATAACATGTGTTGTCGGATCTTTATCATAGAACCGCAATACAGACCGTTTTATTGAAGCCACAATAATAGAATGAGAACCAGCACTGCTCACACTAACACGGCTTTCCCATACAAGTCCGAGATAAAACACTTTGTTCAAATTGTGCCATCATTCCTGTGCTGTGGAAAATCAATTTGGCATATATGTACACAGCATTTTCGATAAAACAAATCATCGTAGATCAGCAATGAATCTTCAATCCCAACTGTGAAGCCTGGTGAAGGAAGCCAGTCATATGGAGATGCTTTTCTGCCTTAGAGCTTAGAACCTATATAAACTGAGGGATCTGTTAACTCCAAGTTGTTCCAGAAAACACTATAGTAGTAGGTGGGTGCCAGCAGCCAGAATGAAAAAAAAACAAGGCCTTTTCACACTGGCAGCCGGGTCGGGGGGGGAGAGGTAAAAATAGGTGGCTGAGTCGCAGTTTTGTTGCCCTCTGGAATTCTGATACTACAGCCTGACAGGGTCACATTATGCGACCACACAAATTCGACTTTTTACACTTGGATTGCAGTTGCAGCGTGGTCCTGCAAAGTAAGATTACCATTTGACAGTAGTGCCTCCTGAACCTGTGCCAGCCACTGCTATACCACCCTCTGAAAAGTGATCCACCAGAGTTTACTTTTCAGAAAGACATGAAGCATTACCGCCTAGACCGAACATATTCCTCCATCCACACAAATGAGATGGATTGATGGAGGAGTGGATGAAGTGACATTGCATTCTGACAGTGGGAGCTGCTACTGCCAGAATACACCAATCAGCAGCTGCATCCCCTGATGAAGAAACGTTTCCAGCATGTCCCATGATCAAAAATTAACTTCTCTCAAGCGGAGGCAGCCATACTCTGAACAAAATCTGTCCGGTCCCTTCTAAACCAGCCAAATAATGATCATTGATTGGCCACCTTCAAAAGAAATTGATATTTGAAAGTGATAAATCCTAACCGAGTAAATCAATAGAGGAGCTAAAACAACAATTCCACGTTATAGAAAAGACTTTGATAGTCCTGAACTCAATCCCACTGAAATACTGAGCTGTGATCCACAAGCTGTGCAAGAAAAACACTCCAAATGCAAACACATTAACAGAAATAGGTTTGTAAACAGGAATGAAAAAAATGCCTCGTAACCTCTAAAGACACAGAAAACATTTTACTAATCACCAATAATGGAGGTTCCATTAATCAGTAAAACATTTACTCACGAAAAATATGGCATATCAATATATCAGATGTGAAATAGTATGCGGTCATTACTT